AAATTGAGTACAGAAAATGTTAATAATTTACTGAGGAAAGAAGTCTTATTTATCTTTATTATATATATATATATATATATATATATATATAAGAGTACTTAAATTTACGTACTTCTTATTAGGTAATTTAAAACCAAGAGTATAGAAACTATGGTTGATATTTTTTTATAAAAAGTAAGAATTTTTTTAGTTCAGTTCATAACAAGAAATATGTGTTATTTTGATATAAAAAGATAATTCGTGTGAATGAAGTAATCATTAGAATCAATGAGAGATCAATAATAAAGAAGATTATCAAGGTTTTATTGACAAGTAAACAAATGAGGACCAATAAAAATATAAAAGGAAAAAAATGATCCATTGAGATCCAATAAGAATAAATAATGAAATTAACATATAGTATACAAGCTCAACAAATGATTGTTTGAGCACTTAAATAGAATCTTATGGTGTGGTGAAATCTCAATGAAAGATACATAAGTCAAACAATCGATGAAAACATTTAAATTATATTTTCCTTCTTTCTTTGCTCAACTAAAATATGATATTAAGATTTTTTTTGATTAACTTGGATATCCAACCAGCTATGCGAGCCAACTAATCCCAGGACGACCACCTGCTTTGCTGATAGCCCGTAGTCACCGCATTTGAACCTCCGTAGCCACAAGGGGATTTTTATTCCTCCTTGGATTTGAACCTGAGACCTCCGATACTTTTGACCTATGGAACCAAACTCAAACCAATCAGGCACCACCCTTGTGGTTAAGATTAAAATTTTATGAAACATGACATATATAAGAGACATTACTAAATACATCTAGTAGAAAAAATTTATTGATTAATCATAAAACGATGAAACAAGTCAAAAATTATAAGAACAATAGATTGATTGTCAAATAATAGTAAWATATTTTATGTAGAAGCAAAAATAGATAACAATAGTCAATAAAAACAATTAGAACAAGATAACCAAATAGCAATAGTCAATAAAAGCATAAATTGATAAAATATCCAAAAAATATATATAGCAATAGCAAGCACATGATCTTAACTTTGAATTATTGAAGTACGAAAACAGTCAAGTTTTTAGAGATAGCAATAGCYAATATCATTGGACCTTGTTGGAGATAAAAAAAAAAGTAGAGAGAAAATAAACAATAGCATATAATTAATGACCAATTAATTTTTTTTTCTTCTCCAATGTAATTAGTTGATATATTTTTAAGCCCTTATTTTCTACTAAATTCTTTATGTTTCTAATTATATATTACAATTTTTGGATTTCTTTAATTTATTAAAATCTTTTAGACTACTATTGTAGTTTAGGGGAAAATTTTGGGCCTCTGATATTTTTGAGCCCTGGGCGTGCGCCCGTGTCGCCCTCCCCCAGGGACGGTCCTGGCCCTATAAACGGGACGAGCTTTTTCATAGGTAACATGCCTATTTTTTTTACATTTGAAAAGCAAACCTCATATAAAATCATAAGCTATGTAAAATTATTCAAGTTAGATAGTTTTCTTTCCAACCTATAAAAAGACGTAAAATAGCCAACGTGCATAGCAAATGGAAAAAAATAGTTCTGCAAAATTTAGAGCATGGACATTTCCACTCAAATGATTTATCAACTTTCAAAGCCCGAGATTAATTGGTGCACATAAGTTGGCTCGACAACCCACAATTACTAAAAATAACTTTCAGAGCCTCAGAATTTTCAACAACAGAATATTTAACTATATAATATTTCAAGATCGAGATTTGAGACATACTATATATATGACATGACATATTATATATAATATATATTTGCAGGGGCGGAACACAAACTTTCCAACCGTAGGGGTCGGACCTAATATATTATATATTTCCAAAGGTACCAAAAATACACTGTCCAAAGTTATAACGTAGTGAAACTCTAAAACTAGACGTTAAATATGAACATGTCAAACATTGCTAATCAAAGTGGAACCCGTCGATCTTGCGCCACCTTGAAGTCTTCCACAATTTCCTCCAAACTAATCTTTTCAGCTACTTCCCTTTCAATAAACAAAAGCAATGAGTCATTTAGAAACTCATTATCCATTTCATTCCCTATTCTTGTTTTCACATCATTCATTGCTAAAAATGATCTCTCGGTTGTCGCGATGGAAACTCGAGAGTAAGTAATAGACTTATTAGTCGATAAATAAGATCAAAAGTGGTTTCTCTTCTAGTCCTTACCAACCATTGACACAATTCTGCAATAGATGTCAATTGCTTATAATTTGTATGGTGAACGACATCAATAGCATAATGTTGAAGTTGCATTTTCAGAATTGTTTTCTCATGATCACTGAAATCTTCAGGATAGAACTTCTCTACTAGTTGTCGTACATCAAGACTTCTAAAAGTCTCATAGGCATTTTTGGGATCTAGAGTTGAAGCAAGACGAAGCATCTCCTTGGAACCATGACTGAAACGATGATCTATTTCCATTAATTGACAACCAATTGCTTCATAAAAGATGTCCACTCGGTAATGATGCTCAAGTGTATGATCACTATGCTCATTACGAGCTCGATTACCTCTACTAAAGTAGGTATAAGACAAGTCAGGAATATCTACATTACGTACCTGACAAGAAAACAAGTCGAGAAGAAGACAAGTTAGGAAGAATTACTTGATAACGATGTTCAAGTGTATGATCATTATGTTATATACCTGACAAAATGACTTAACAAGGCAAAGCAAAACATCCCAACTTTCATCTTTCATTAGTTGTAATAACATTTTGGTAGGTGCAACTAACCTCAATGAGTTAAAAATATCTTGACCTTGCCTTTGTAAAGCTTGACAAAGTAAATCAGTGATATGCATTATTTCTCTTTCGAGATGCAAGACAAATATGAACTCAAATATTGTCATAGCCTCATATGACGAATCTGCATCTCCTTTGATTGGACCAGTTCCTTCCTCAAAATTTTTGAGCAAAACCTCACAAGTTGGACTAAACATGTTGATTAAGCTAGAAACTGATATGAGATGAGAACTCCATCTAGTATCTCCGGTTCGTTTTAATTTACTAATTTGATTGAGACCTCTACCAGTCTCCAATTCATCAACATAAATCAAGTATGCAATTTGCTTGACTTGTGCATCTCGTAGTTGGTCGGTGCATTTGGAGGAAGCACTAACAACATTGATAACGAAAGACAACGTTGTAAAAAACTTACACAGTGCTACAACTCCTTCAGAGGCGGCCATTAATGCCAATTGCAACCGATGAGCAAGACGGTGAACATAATATGCGTACAATCTTCTAAAATCAAGGCTTGCAAACCTTTGAACCAACCTTGCATATTGCTTGCACCATCACACCCTTGTCTAGGAATAGACTTGACATCAAGGTTGTAATGTGACAACAGAAAATAGATTCCATCCTTGAGCTTTTTTGTTGTAGTGTCACATACATGAGCAAGTCCAAAGAAACGCTCTATAATGAAGCCCTCTTTATTAACAAATCTCAAAACAAGAGACATTTTCTCTTTACGAGACTCATCCTGTGCTTCGTCAAGAAGTAAACAAAACCTTCGACCACCAATCTCCTCACAAATCATTTGTCTCACCTTATTTGATATAAGATTCAAAATTTCCTTTTGAATCAACGGTGATGCATATGATGCATATCTGGGAGCACGACAAAATAATTCTTTAAGCTCAGTGCTGAATTCACCAAGTGCCTCCAACATTTCAAGAAAATTCCCTCTGTTAATGGAATCTAACTTTTCATTGTGGCCTATAAATGCAACTGCTTGAGAAGCACACCAACGAAAGCAATAAATAGAAGCCATCAATCTCAATTTGTTTTTCCCACGTTCTTCAGTTGTGAACTTCTAAAATACATTTCGTATACCTTGCGCCTCATTTAATAAATGATCCCATCCCTTTTGTGTAACATTGTGGAAAGATGTACATTCGGTTCCCATATGCATCAAGAAGCCACATTTTTTCCCACCCACTTTTTTCCAATTTCAAAACCCATCTTATGGTAAATGCTTGTTGACCGTAGTATCCGAGCCCATATGGCTTGTTGAATAAAAAACAAGGGAAACAAAATGCTGCATCCAAAATCTTTGAATATTCAATCCAGGGATGTAACTTGAACCAAGAAGTTTGAAAGCTACGTTTATGAGTTTCTGGTCCAGATTTTAGAAACATAGAAAGTGTAGGTTGAAGAGGACCAAGATTCATGTAAGCTCGTCGAATTATATCTTGGTGATTGATAGGATAATCATAAACTTGACGACGCAAACCAGGGTCTCATTCTAGTGTACCCCGATCAACATCATTACTTTCCATTTGAGTTTTTTTTTTTTTTTTGCAAGGGTTTTCGATAGGCGGAACACTAGATGTAAGGGTATTATCTACATTTGTTGTTTCTTCGGGATCTTGAGAAGAAGAACTAGCATGTTTTCTTTTAAACAACCCATGAATGTTGATTGAGTTTTCATCTTCATCTACATGTGAAACATATTTAACACTTAAGTACTTGACCAATTTGACAAAAAAAGGGACTTTCGAAATTAAACAACTTTAAAACCAATTCATAAATACTCATTCAAACAAGTGATGAAGTGAATGGACTATAAGGTATTGAAATGATAAATTAGAAGTTAATATTTTTAATTCATGAATTGTGGTTGAATTTGGCTTCACCCATATTAATGGAAAAATAAATAATTAAAAGACAATTAAATATATGAAACGAGGAGGAATGTCTTTGAATATTAGAAGATTATTGACAAATGCACCATAAATAGTATTCTTAATTTTAAGTTGATGTCATAAAGATATTGATAAAGCATCACAAGTTTCTATATGTTACTTAACATGTGCTTTTGATCACCGCATGACACGTGGTACTTAGCACTAGTTTACTTTAATTAGGATTATCATTTAATTTTAATCGACTTTATTAGTTATTATGTAATAAATTTATACACTAAATATAAAAGATATCATATTGCTCAATAAAGATTCTTCTTTTTGTAGTTTCTATTTTTATTAATTAAAACAAAAAAATCTATCAAGAAGAGTCAAAAACAATCTTATCTCATTCTCTTATGAACTATTTGATGTTAAATTAATAAATAAGAATTTCATTTATTTATTTGAAGTGTACATGTAAAATATAGCGTCATATATTTTGATATTAAAGTAGAGAATTTAAACTTTTGACGGTTTGGTTTACGAAATGGAATTTGATGAAATTGAAATCCATCAAAGGAATTTGACGTTTAAAAAATTAGAATGAAATTTAACCATTTATTTGGCTGGTAGGAATTAGAATGGAATCTCTCAAAAGAATTGGAATCTCCATGTTTATTTGACAAATGTACCTTGAGAATGGGATCAAAATAACAACAAATGATCAAAATACCACTTTATTACATTTTTATAGTTTTTTGTTTAATTTATAAATATAATATAACTATAATAGTAAATGGTTGAGGTGGTGGCTGTGATGAAAAAGGTAGTGTTGTGGTGGGTGGGGGTGGTTGTTGTGACGATGACAATAACGGCGAGCATGTAGGTGACTGTTGTGATGACGATAATAGTAGTGTGGTGGCGGGCAAGTGGAGGAAAGGATGTTGGATGGTGGTGGGGGAAGGGGTTGAGGGTGGGTGGAAAGCATGACGGTAAAGTAGTAGCGTGGTCGTGGTGGGGGTAGGGTGCGCCGCATGGGGTGGGGTGGGTGGCGCTATAACAACGAGCAGTAGTGGCATGGTGGCGATGGGATGGGATGGGGTGGGGTGGGGTAAGGGTGGATGATGTTGGTTAATGATAGAAAGTTTCTTTTTTGTCTTTTTAAAACCAAATCATAAAATTTGTTACATTTGTCCATGAATGATATTCAATTCATTCACTTATGTTAAAGGATGATGAAATCATTAATATGTAGAATTCAAAGGAATTTAAATGATTGCATCGATTTTAAGAGACTGTTTGTTTATCTCTTAATAGTTTCATTAAGAGTCGGCCTCTGAATTGTTAAGAGGTGAACCTTGTTTGACAAAAAAAAAGTCTGCCTCTTAAGAGTTTTAAAATTCTCTGAATAATTTTGTATTCTGGGACTCACTTAACCATTCAACACCCTAATTCTATTGTAAACAATTACTGAACAATTATATTTCATTTTGCACTATATCATGAAAGACTCTTAATCATTCTGACCACTTAATCATTCTACATAAAACCATTCAACAACTGTCAAACAGCCTCTAAGAAGTGAACTAAATAAAGGAATTGAAATTTGGTTAAAGGAATTGATCATTCCAATTCCCTTAAAATACCAAGGATTCTATGAACCAAACAACAACTTGTTCTTAATTCATGTTTCATTTTATTTACTGTCTTTCTTAGGTTTATTAATAATTTTATGTGGTTTTGAGAGAGCGAGAGAATATTCGATTGATTATCAGTTTTATCTAGTATACTGACATATTAATAGGATTCAATGTTTATTTTGTATTTGAACATCTATTAAGTTAATTTTATAGAGTTCAAATATGAAGCTTTAAAAAATTTATATGTGCACAATAATAAGTTGTAAACTTGTCTAAGAGATTTAATAACATGGTGTAAATGTTTTGTGATATACAAGAAGCGCTCATGCACAATGCAATGCGATTCAATCTCGAATTTAAAGTTAGAGAATTCGAAATCTCAATCTTGTTTCATGTTTCTGTCATCCGTATGTCTTAATTTAATTTTTATGCTTATGTATCGTTTTGACAAAGTGAGAAAGTCATCTTAATATTTTTATGATTTTGTACGCAACTTTCAACTAGAGGTGAATATATATATATATATATATATATATATATATATATATATATATATATATATATCATATTCACACTCAATATCATCTATAAAACATTGATACAACTTGAATGATATATATTTATGATGAATATTGTACTCAAGATGTATATTCGTCAGAAATACCATATGTAGTTGAAAGTTGTGGTATACACATGAATATCTATAACGAATATATACATCATTTTATGGTATATTAGATTATCTACAAACCTGTTAAAAATTGGAAAAATAGTATACCTGTACATATATCAAATCGAAAAGAATAAAATGCTTTTTTTTATATAATTTATTTAATTAAAATAATAATAATGTTTAAGATAATTTAGTTTATAAAAATAAGGGTAATCCATTTTTAATTAAAAAAGTTAATATTGTTGTTTTTGGGTGAGTTTCTAAAACTTGGCTCATTCATTTAGAAAGTGTAATATGAGTTTCTAAAAATCATTTAAGATTGTATTATTATTTTTTGTTACAAAAGGAGCAAAACAACACTACTAGAAAACTGGGCATTTCCGGCGGATTTATCCGCCGGTATTTTTTAAAAAAAAAATAAATCTTTTTTAAAATATTATTTTTTTAAAAAAATTAATTTTTTTAAAAATATTATTTTTGAAAAGAAAATATTTAATATATATATATATATATTTCCGGCGGATTTATCCGCCGGTATTTTTTTTAAAAAAAATAAATCTTTTTTAAAATATTAATTTTCCGGCGACAAATGTTTCCGGCGGATTTCCGGCGGAATATTCCGCCGGAAATTTAAAAAAAAAAATTTAATTTCTTGGTTAAGTTAATCTAGATTTTTTAAAAAACGGGCGAAGATTTTTCCGGCGGCCAAAATCCGCCGGAAACGGGGAAATTCCGCCAGAAACGCCGCCAGAAAAACAATCACCGGCGCCCTTTTTTCCGGCGGCCAAATCCGCCGGAAATTCTTTTTTCCGGCGGATTTGGCCGCCGGAAATAGTGGGTTTTTTGGTAGTGTGCAAGAATCCTAAACTATAAAAAATTGAAATATTTTGTATATATCTATACTATATTATAAAGCATTTGACAAAAACTTTTAAAAACAATTTTTTATGTACAAAGTACTGTATATYGATGCATATTACTTAAAATTCAAGATTATAAGTAAATTATGCATAAGTATAACTTATTAAAGCTCCATGTTTGAATTCGTGTAACTAACTGCGGATAAACATAATCAAATAAAGGATAAATATCTCATTTAAAAATATAAAAAATCTAAAATATAATTACGATAATTATTGAGTTTTAACAAAACAAATAATTATTATATTGATAAGAAAATTATATTATTAAACCAAATATAAATTACTTCATTACTGAACCTAAATTAAATTATAAAAAGATTG